CGATGGATAAGAGATAAGAAATATTGGGTCACAATACTTATAATAGTATGTTCCAAATTAGGTTGTTCCACAGATCCAGCTTCGAAGCTGGATCCGTGTAGTGATGTGAAATTGGTTGAGAAATTGGACACTGCTACCTGGTTAGCCTGTGCCATGGAGTTGAGCCAATTGCGTCGGATGGAAACGCAATCAGATATATACAGATTAAGAAGAGGTGGGTCGCAATACTCGTACAAGTATGTACTTAAGTAGGTTGTGTTCCACAGATCCAAGGCGAGTGTAAGGCCTCATCTAGAATACTGTGTCCAAGCCTGGGCACCACTGCACAATAAGGACGCTGCCTGCCTGGAGAAAGTACAGAGACTAGCTACAAGAATGGTAGCGGGACAGAGGGTTAAATCATACCATGAAATATTAAGGGACCTCGATCTATGCTCGCCAGAAAGGTAGCGAATTAGAGGAGACCTCATAGAAGCGTTCAAAATTAGGAGGGGTTTCTCTGGGATTCCCTCTGAGGAGCCCTTCACTGATGCCCCGTATGCTGGTACCAGGGGCCACGAGCACAAACTGATGAGGAAAATAAGTAGGTTAGATGTGAGTTCCAACTACTTCAGCAATAGAATAGTAAATAGGTGGAATAGACTACCTGAAGAACTAGTCAACTTGCCTAGTATCCACGCCTTCAAACTGGCTTTGAATAAGAGGTGGTTAGAACTGTTTCCGAACGTGGAGTACTGAACAGAATGCGACCGTTAGGTTCATAACTTTTTTCTGTATGCCATATGGAACGCATTCACATTAAAAGTCTTTCGCCGATACCGCGAGAAGTAAGGTTTCTCTTTCTCTCTGTGTTGGAGATAGGCGAAGAAACCGATCGTTTGAAGAGGTGGATGCACACTCGTGAGCACACCACCGAAGGAATTCTGGACGCTTGATTGGCCTGTGGCCACTACTGTAGCGTACCAAGGCAGAACGAACTGACCGCCCCTAACTGTAACCCCCTCTCGGTTGCCTTCCAGGTATCTCAGCACCAGTTTGGCATGAACAACCGAAAGAAGACCCGAACGAAACAGACCAAAACCAGAACGAGAATTGATATTGTTGTTAAAATGACGAGCAATTGATTTTATCGATTTTTATATACGGTTTTCGAATTGCACCCCTGCGACTGCGTTGAACCACTGTAAAACCTGTGCGGAAACAAATCCTGAGTTTCAATTGTTCCATCCTGTGGTTCTTTGAGTGTTTCCGACCTTTGTGAGCGTGCTACGGGCGATGCCGAACCATAGCATATCACAGATTTGGTAACCCTGTCAGGATGCCTCGCAATCCGAAGAGTGATGCTGAGAAACACGAATCCCCCCAACATCCCACATCATTTTTCGGCGTCCTCATGCAACGTATTCTCACTCTTCTTTCTTCCGATATTCACTCCGAAATCGTACGGACAGAATCTACTCCTTCCGTCCCCCCACCTGGAAAATTTCACATTGGGGATGATTTCCACCGTTGGGCTCGGGCGGCCCAGGACTCTATCGAACTTGTTCCGCCATCAGATCGCAGAATTGTGCTACTGTCCCTCATTGAGGGCGAGGCCAATGATATTGTGCGCGATGAAGGTGTACTCGACGCGCCCATCACCCCAGAAACCTTCCAGAGACTTCGAGATTGTCTCACAGATCGCCTTCATGCAGCGGAATTCGCTCATCAGTTCCAAACCCGTATCCAATTCCCTGGCGAACGGCTGACCTCCTTTTTTCGTGCACTTCGTCGTCTAGCAGTGGGAGCATTCCCGGACAATGAATCCATCGACCGCGACGCGAAGGTTCTCACGCAGATCCTGGTGGGTACGCGGGACCCCCTGGTGAGACGCCACTTCCTCCTCAACCCACCACCTACCGTAGCGGCAGCATTGGACACCGCCCGGCGCCTCGAACAGGGTGAGGCTGTACTCAGTCGCGATCAACTACCCGAAGCACCAACAATCGCCCTCGTGAGTAGCCGTCGCCCGCAACGTCCCTTCCGGCCGCGTTACAATCAGGGCCGCCTGTGGTACCCATGGTGCCAGCCCCCCCCCCCACATCTTGGACGTCGCCCAGGGATTGCTACTACTGCCAGCGGTTCGGAACCGACGCACGAGCATGTGGCCATAACCGCCCCGGTGAGTCCACCATTTCTCTCTGTGCGTGCCACACATCTTTGTTGTCCTCGGTTCCCGTCATTGATATTAATGCCTGGGACGCTCCAACTACTGCCCGCGTCGACACTGGAGCAGCGTGCTCCTTGATTCGCAGTGACGTGATTCCCGCACAAGCACCTATTCGTCAATCCCCACATCTTCGACGCATTGCAGCGAAAGGTACTCCCATGCTGATTCGGGGTCAAACCAGGGTACCAGTTGCCTTGGGGAACTGAGGACCCATCACCCAATGACCATTGTAGATAGACTTCCGCGGCCTGCTATCCTGGGGATTGACTTCCTCCGTGCTCAGAATGCCCAGCTCCATATTGTCTCAGGCAAAATCAACATAGGACCCCAAGTATTTCGCATTGACCACTATCACAACTCCAGAGGGCTGGCATGAACAACCGAAAGAAGACCCGAACGAAACAGACCAAAACCAGAACGAGAATTGATATTGTTGTTAAAATGACGAGCAATTGATTTTATCGATTTTTATATACGGTTTTCGAATTGCACCCCTGCGACTGCGTTGAACCACTGTAAAACCTGTGCGGAAACAAATCCTGAGTTTCAATTGTTCCATCCTGTGGTTCTTTGAGTGTTTCCGACCTTTGTGAGCGTGCTACGGGCGATGCCGAACCATAGCATATCACACTACCAGTCCTGTGTAACCTGACGAGAGACTCATCGCTCAGCAGGACGAAGAGCAGGCTAGACGTCTCGGCCCACCAGGCACTG